AGGAGCTTTAGGGCTGTAGGGCTCTTAGGGTTCAAGTTTTTAGGGTGTTTAGGGCTTTGTAGGGTTTTTTGGGAGTTGGTCGGCGTCCAGGCCGGTATCAGCCTCGCGAAGGCGGCCCCCTTTTGCAAACGCAATGCTCGCATGACGGGGCTTGCAACCCATTTGCAACACAATGCTCGCGCGACGGGGCTTAGACAGGCTTCACACATGCTGCGAAGCAAGCTCGCACGGCTTGAACACAGCCGGGGGCGGGGGAGGGGGGGGGGCGGCGCAGCAGTGGGAAACAATCTCATCCGTGGACGCAAGAGGTCGGCCACTGCTGCGTCTGTGCCGGACCGACCGGTGGACGTGCGTCGCCATATATACTTGGCGACAATTTCTGTTCGGAGGACAATGGCACCGAACGACAAGCATCCAAGGTCACAGGCTCACAGGAGCTGATGACAAGCTGGGAAGCCTGCATTGAACGGGGACCGCAATGCATCAATGCCCCTTGCCAACTTCGTTCCAACAGGGCTTTCAGCCCTTCCGCTCCGTTTCTGCGAGCATTCGGAGGCACGGAACCATCCAATAAACAACAGCACCATGGGACCCGCGGCAACGACCCTCCAGTCTCGCTTTTTTCCCACCAGCTGAAACCAGCAGACGTTCACGTTTGTGGACCCGAAGTTGATTGGAGGAGCGTCGGCCACCGGTGGAGCGACAGAAGCCATGGGTCTGGACAGCGCTTTCGCGGCGGCCGCCGCTGCACGTCTCTGCTTTGTCTCTATAGTGCCCCCACTTGTAGCTGCCGCCTGTGGCGTGCTCGAGGAGTTTGGGTAGATGGACATGTGCTGATGTGTCGCAACAACCCCGCTCAGGGCATTGAGGAGAAAGGTAACGAACAGCTTCTGGACCGGCAAAGCGAGCATGGCCCTCGTGATCTCACATTCTCTCATTGAAAAGCCATGAGTGCCGTCACTGTGCAAACTCTTATCCTGGTGTCCTGCCCACGGCCATGTCTCCGCCTGTCAAAGAAGAAATTTTAAAGTCTCTGTGTGTAATTTGGTGACTAGATTGTAGGCAGGACTCTTGCCGGTGGTCGGCAGAGCCCGGTACTTAACGGACAACACGAGGTTGGGATTCTCAGGATACAGCTGCGCCTTGCCATGCATGTGGAGCAAGTTGGCCAGATAGATGCCATCAGGACGCCAACCTGCCGCACGTGCGCAGTAGAGAATGTAAACAGCGAATGGCACAGGCACGACGGTGCCGAGACGAGGAGCAACCTCGAGGGCATGGTCGGCAGTCGTCGGTGACTCAGCCAGTGACTGGATGCCTGCAATCCTGTGTTCGGTGACTTCTTCCACACGTTTGTTCGTGTTCTCTGATACACTGCGTGTGGAGAGGCACCTGACGGAACAGGCTTGCTGCGAGATCGAGCTTTAGGGCCTGCCGGAGGCACTCTAGCCAAGGCTCAACTTCGACCTCTGGTGACAGAGACCTACTGGTTCTGAGCAGCTAGGATGCCCAGTAGTACCCTTCCCCTATGAACCCCTTCGAGCAAGAAAGGGCACCCGTGTTTATCCCATGTTCCTGGGCAACCTAGGTGGGAAATAAATCAGGTACCTTATACCATAAAATCCCCTTATGCCCTTTCAGGGACTTTATTGAGCAGTTACCTCATTCCCTCATTTTCTACGAAGAACCAGTCAAGCAAGGGGCCATGTAACAAGGCCCTGCAGCCCCACCCCCCCTTTGTAACCTTGAGGGCCCAAGACACCACGACTTAAGGTTTGTTTTGTTCATCTGTTTTGGGGGCCCAAAGGCCTCATGAATTTGGGGTCTGGGGCCCTTAGAACTTTCTGTGCTGTTTCCCCCCTGAACCCTCAACCCTAAACCCTAAACCCTAAGCCCCTGCTCCAAGAGCAGTTACGGCCAGAGACCACATGTGGGGCATGCACTCCACCCGAAGTCGACTCTCGAACGCTCTGTCTGTCTGTCTGTCTGTCTGTCTGTCTGTCTCTCTGTGTCTCTGTGTCTGTGTGTGTGTGTGTGTGTGTGTGTGTGTGTGTGTGTGTGTGTGTGTGTGTGTGTGTGTGTGTGTGTGTGTGTGTGTGTGTGTGTGTGTGTTGTGTGTGTGTGTGTGTGTGTGTGTGCTGTGTGTGCTGTGTGTGCTGTGTGTGCTGTGTGTGCTGTGTGTGCGGGTGTGTGTGTGTGTGTGTGTGTGTGTGTGTGGGTGTGTGGTGTGTGTGTTGTTGTGGGTGTGTTGTGTGTGTTGTGTGTGTGTGTGTGTGTTGTGTGTGTGTGTGTGTGTGTGTGTGTGTGTGTGGGTGTGTGTGTGTGTGTGTGTGTGTGTGTGTGTGTGTGTGTGTGTGTGGGTGTGTGTGTGTGTGTGTGTGTGTGTGTGTGTGTGTGTGGGTGTGTGTGTGTGTGTGTGTGTGTGTGTGTGTGTGTGTGTGTGTGTGTGGTGTGTGTGTTTGTGTGTGTGTGTGTGTTGTGTTGTGTGTGTGTGTTGTGTTGTGTGTGTGTGTGTGTGTGTGTGTGTGTGTGTGTGTGTGTGTGTGTGTGTGTGTGTGTGTGTGTGTGTGTGTGTGTGTGTGTTTGATTAGTTTGTTGGTTTACGAGTAGAACAAGGCGAAGGCTGGCGAGCCGGCACAAGGCAGACTTGGGATGAGTACGAGAGAGGAAAAGCACGAATAGAACACCCCAAACAAAACCGTTACCCAAAAAGAACCCCCCCACCCGGAACTACCCGAGTCCTTGAACCCTGGTTGAGGGTTTAGGGTTTACTTTTAGTTCAAGGTTTTCGGGTTTAGGGGACAAAGGAAACCCAAAACAAAGCCTAGAAGTCTTCCACTCGAACTCGTCCCGTCAGCCGAATGAGTTTCATGGTGACCTGCCTACGCACGTAGGCGGCCAGGCCCTATATACTTTGAAGCACGGACTTTCGCAACCCTAAGCCCTAAGCCCTAAACCCTAAACCCTAAACGCTAAACCCTAAACCCTAAACCGCAATAGTTTGGAGGATTCAGGCCTGGGTGCGTTAGGAGAAAGGTCGGGTTTGGGAGCTTCTGGGGCCTCTAGGGTTCTCCGGCCCGTCTCCGGCTTTTGATCTTTTCTGGGCTCAAAGCCCTAAACCCTAAACTCTGAATCCTAAACTTCAGGGCTTTAGGGCGGATTAATTGAAGGGCTTTGAGCCGTCACCCCTAAACCCTAAACACTCTAAACCCTCTAAACCCTCTAAACCCTCTAAACCCTCTAAACCCTCTAAACCCCGCACCTTAAGGGCTTGTGCGGACTCTGCCGTCCTGTGCTTGGGTTCCTTGCATCCTGCGGGGGGGTCTACCCGATCCTTCGACCTCGGCAGGAAAGCCCAGGACTTGGTTGTTTGGGGGCTGAGAGCCTTCAGGGTTTAGGGTTTATAGGGTTTAGGGTCTAGGATGGGATGAAATATATATGGGGGAGCTATGGGGCTCGGGCCAGGTCCGGCGTTTTGGGGTCAACGGCCAAGGTTCAGCCCTAAACCCGAAACCCTCAAGCCCCTAAACCCTGAGGGTTTGGGTTTGGAGGGTGCCTCCCGAACAATGCTGAAGGTCCGAAGTGGAACATGGGCATGGGCATTCAGGGTTCAGGGTTTGGGGTTTGGGGTTTAGGGTTTAGGGTTCAGGGTTTAGGGTTGCAGGTTTAGTGTTTAGTTTAGGGTTTAAGCGGTTTAGGATTTAGCCGGTTTAGGGTTAGGGTTTATGGTTTAGGGTTTAGGGTTTCGGGTTCAGGGTTTAGAGAAGCGTGCTCCAGAGCCTTTCACAAAATCTTAGAGTCACCCTCCCAGGCTCCAGTGTTCTGGTCTTGGGGCGATTTTAAGGGGTCAAGTGGAGGGTCCTTCTATTGGCGCTCTCTCTCCTTTGGGCGGGCGGTAGGGGCGCCTATCCTTCATGGACCTGACAGGAGGGGTGGGGGGGGTGAGCGGGGGGCCCCTAAACCCTAAACCCTAAACCCTAAACCCTAAACCCTAAACCCTAAACCCTAAACCCTAAACCCTAAACCCTAAACCCTACACCCTAAACCCAAAACCCTAAACCCTAAACCCTAAACCCTAAACCCTAAACCGGTATCGGGATGGGACTTGTTCCTGGGATAGATGCAGCTATTGTAGGGGGTGCGTGGTGCCAGAGCTTTGAGCAACCCTAAAAGCTAGGCTGGCCGCTTCAACCTTCGACAAAGATTCCAGGCTACGATCCCCTTCAACCGAACAAGTATCCGGGGAAAAGGAAAAAATGAAATGTTTCGGGACCTACCTGAACAGATCCTCTCAACTCGCGACCTTGTATTCCAGGAACCCCAGTGATGAGCCGCCCGATATTTTGGAGATCCCTCTGCGCAACTAAACCCTACACACCAAGCCTAATCCCCAAACCCCGAAAACCCTAAACCCCTAAACCCCCAAACGCTAAACCCTGAACCCGAACTCTTAGATTAGCTACTAATGGTCCCTTCCTATGGGCCCGAAAAGGGGGGATGACCGCCAAGTTGAAGCAGCCTCTTCCGACCGTGCCAGGCACGTGAGAGAGCATCAAGGAGGCCGGACGGCATCCGCCATCCGCCGAAGACTGGCGCAAGCGAAATCCTGCAGCCAGGCTGTCGAAGGCCTTCGACAAGTTTGCAGAGTCGGCAAAGCGAGGAGCTGTATCCACTGACCCGGTAGCTGTGCCCTTTCAAGGCTTGCCAATGGGCCGAGCAGAGCCGTGTGCAAGCCTTTCTTTTGAACTCCTCCATGGAGTTCAGGGGGCAAGGTTTGTGCAATCCAAGGAGCAAGCTGCTCATGCGTATGTGTGCCCAAGCGCGGTAAATGACGCTTCCTATGCTGATGTACCCTTAAGAATTTAAGGAGGTAAGAGACCATATTCAGACCCTATGAAGCTACCCTTAGACTAACCCTAAACCCTGAACCCTAACCTTTACTCTCAACCCTTACGCCCTCTCGAACAAACTCCTGGGGCCCGCCTCAGAAACTTCCACGGCTATGCTTGCGCTGGCGGCAGGGGTGGGCCCTGACAGCTCATGGTGCCCAGAGGACCCCGTACACCCCTCATAACGGAAGACGCCTCAAGAGAACCCTATAAACCCTACAAACCCTATGCACCCTGTAAGCCCTATAAACCCTGTAAACCCTATAAACCCGCAAACCCCATAAACCCGATAAACCCTCTAACCCCTAAACCCCTGAGCAGTTTAACATTCGGAGGGGTCTGTAGGTGATGTACGCAACATACCAATTGGTTCAGGAACACTCATGTTTTTCGTAGGCTCTAGGGTTGTGCTTTGTCAGAGACTTGACCTAAGGAATAGTCTGAAAGACGTAGGCATTTTCCAGGTCATATGGGCAGTTCCCTACATAGCCCTCTATAGACTAATCCCTTTGTAAACTACCCCAAAAGGACCCTTTAGACAACTACCTGTACAAAGAAGTGCTTGCTGGTTCTTAGCAGGGAACTAGTTGAATCCAAACCCTGAGCCCGAAACTTCTAGATCATCCTTTCCGGTAAAACAGAGGGGACACAAGGCCCCGTATTCCCGAATTCCTAAACCCTAAACCCACCCTGAAAGCTTACGAGTGAGGGAGAGCGTCGGATTAGGGCTGTCGAGTGGAGGGCTGTTGGGGTTTACGGCTTTCAGGTTTAGGGTTAGGGTTTAGGATTTTGGGTAGGACCTAGGATATAGGGATTGGGAGTTGGGGTCTAGGAATGTAGGGCTGATAGCTCAAGGGCGATGACGCGGGTGTCGCCAGGTGCAAGCGACAGCTGCTAACCTTTGAAGTCGGCTTGCCAGGCTTCCAGCATCTTGGCTATCCAGCCGGACAGACCGTCCTCGATCTTGTCAACCACGACTGTGCGCAGCACAGCTAAACCGAGCCAGGCTGCTGGCACCGCACTTGCAGTGTGAAGTATACAGCGTACGCTCGTCGGAGAGGGTTCGGAGCAAATGGGTTTCCTGGTTCCACTTCGTCAGTGTAGAGCACGACCTGAGCCTTGCCTCCGTACTTAGGCAGTCTGTCTGCAGGCAGCGCGCAGCGAGCCAAAACCCTAAACCCTAAACTCCAAGCCCTAAACCCTAAACCCTTCTTGCAATGCCTGGATGGGAGTCAGGATATGCCACTCGAAGGCATCCTCTTAGGGTTGAGGGATTTTGGGCTTGCTGGCTTGCTACTATTTGCAATGCAAATCCCCCATATTGCCCCTATAAGGGGAATTGATTTGTTTATTTTGGGGGGGGAGGGGGGTTCTTAAGCAATTAGTAGCTTGGGCTCTTCAGGGTGCAAGGGTTGGCGGCTGAGACATGTAGAGGGTTGGAGGGATCTAGGGTGTTGGTTTCAGGATTTCTGGCCCATTTAGGATTTGGGGTCTGGGCTTTACAGGGGTGCAGTGCTTGTACTGCCTCGGCTTTCAAGGAGCAGAGTTTTAAGGGCTTAGGGCGTACGGGATCACAGTGTTTAGGGCTTGCAAGGTTTGGGCTTTCAGCACCTAAGTCCCTAAACCCCTTTAGGGTTTAGGGTTTAGGGTTTTGGGGTTTAGGGTTTAGGGTTTAGGGTTTAGCCTACGCCCCCTTCACGGGGACAAGGTTTTGGGCACCGCCTGCCTTGCCAAGCTTGCCGGGGCCCTTGGCCTTTCCTTGCAGAAGGGTTTTCGCCGTGTCTGTGGGCCGTGTCTTTTTGTGTTCTTTCTAATATATATATATATATATATACATACATATATTATATGTATATATTATATTATATTATATATAGTGTTTTTTGGAGGGGTCAGAGTTCATGGCTTTAAAGCTTCAAGGTTTCAGGGTTTCAGGGCTTCGGGGGATGGATTCGGTTCCCTTCTTGGGGGCTGCTGTCAAAGTGTGTCAGAGGTTTAGGGTTTAGGGTTTAGGGTTTAGGGTTTAGGCTCTTGTATAAGCCCGTAAGCCCTGAGCCCTGAAGCTCTAACGACCCTAAACCACTTCACCCTGCTCCCAAACAACCTCGCACCCCGAACCTGCAAACCGCATTTCTCGTCCTCACACCCACCCCAATATCGGGCAAGAGAAAGAGAAAGACAGAGAGAGAGAGAGAGAGAGAGAGAAAGAGATACAGACATAGATATGGACATAGAGATAGAGATACAGATAGAGATAAAGAGATAGAGATAGAGACAAGATAGAGATAGAGATGGAGATAAAGATACTGATAGAGATAGAGAGATAGAGACAGAGAGAGGGAGAGAGAGAGAGAGAGAGAGAGAGCGAGAGTGAGAGTTGGAGCGAGAGTGAGAGACTGAGGGATGGAGAGACGAGACACCCTGAACCCTAAACCACAAAACACCAAAGACCAGCCATGCCTTTGCCAGCAGGCGGTGGCCCCTGCCACGGCGGGGGGGCCGGCGTGCAGGGTTTGTATTCTAGGGCTGATAGGCTTATACTTAGGGCTTATAGGGTTTAGGGTTTAGGGTTTAGGGTTTAGGGGTTAGGGCTTATAGGGTTTAGGGTTTA